CTTCACTTCCTCCCCATTCATTCGGTCGCACCCCCTCACACCCCTCCTTCCCCCACCCCCTCTCCCTCCGCATACCACCCCTTTGCTCCCCCTCTTCGCGGCCGCGCTCTCCCCTCTCTCCCCCCTGGGTGCGCGCGCGCGCGCGGGTGGCAGGTACGAGGAGCTGGCGTCGCGGGTGGACGAGGCGTTGGGGTTCATGGCGGCGTGCGGGCTGACGGCGGAGCACCCCATCATGCGCTCCACGGACTTCTTCACCAGCCACGAGTGCCTGCTGCTGCCCTACGAACAGGCGCTCACCCGCATCGACTCCACCACCGGCCGCTGGTAAGATGCACGCCGCTGGTGAGCTGCAATGCAACCCTCCCATCACCTGCTGCTGCCCTACGAACAGGCGCTCACCCGCATCGACTCCACCACCGGCCGCTGGTAAGATGCACGCCGCTGGTGAGCTGCAATGCAACCCTCCCATCACCTGCTGCTGCCCTACGAACAGGCGCTCACCCGCATCGACTCCACCACCGGCCGCTGGTAAGATGCACGCCGCTGGTGAGCTGCAATGCAACCCTCCCATCACCTGCTGCTGCCCTACGAACAGGCGCTCACCCGCATCAACTCCACCACCGGCCGCTGGTAAGATGCACGCCGCTGGTGAGCTGCAATGCAACCCTCCCATCACCTGCTGCTGCCCTACGAACAGGCGCTCACCCGCATCGACTCCACCACCGGCCGCTGGTAAGATGCACGCCGCTGGTGAGCTGCAATGCAACCCTCCCATCACCTGCTGCTGCCCTACGAACAGGCGCTCACCCGCATCGACTCCACCACCGGCCGCTGGTAAGATGCACGCTGGTGAGCTGCAATGCAACCCTCCCATCACCTGCTGCTGCCCTACGAACAGGCGCTCACCCGCATCGACTCCACCACCGGCCGCTGGTAAGATGCACGCTGCTGGTGAGCTGCAATGCAACCCTCCCATCACCTGCTGCTGCCCTACGAACAGGCGCTCACCCGCATCGACTCCACCACCGGCCGCTGGTAAGATGCACGCCGCTGGTGAGCTGCAATGCAACCCTCCCATCACCTGCTGCTGCCCTACGAACAGGCGCTCACCCGCATCGACTCCACCACCGGCCGCTGGTAAGATGCACGCCGCTGGTGAGCTGCAATGCAACCCTCCCATCACCTGCTGCTGCCCTACGAACAGGCGCTCACCCGCATCGACTCCACCACCGGCCGCTGGTAAGATGCACGCCGCTGGTGAGCTGCAATGCAACCCTCCCATCACCTGCTGCTGCCCTACGAACAGGCGCTCACCCGCATCGACTCCACCACCGGCCGCTGGTAAGATGCACGCCGCTGGTGAGCTGCAATGCAACCCTCCCATCACCTGCTGCTGCCCTACGAACAGGCGCTCACCCGCGTCGACTCCACCACCGGCCGCTGGTAAGATGCACGCCGCTGGTGAGCTGCAATGCAACCCTCCCATCACCTGCTGCTGCCCTACGAACAGGCGCTCACCCGCATCGACTCCACCACCGGCCGCTGGTAAGATGCACGCCGCTGGTGAGCTGCAATGCAACCCTCCCATCACCTGCTGCTGCCCTACGAACAGGCGCTCACCCGCATCGACTCCACCACCGGCCGCTGGTAAGATGCACGCCGCTGGTGAGCTGCAATGCAACCCTCCCATCACCTGCTGCTGCCCTACGAACAGGCGCTCACCCGCATCGACTCCACCACCGGCCGCTGGTAAGATGCACGCCGCTGGTGAGCTGCAATGCAACCCTCCCATCACCTGCTGCTGCCCTACGAACAGGCGCTCACCCGCATCGACTCCACCACCGGCCGCTGGTAAGATGCACGCCGCTGGTGAGCTGCAATGCAACCCTCCCATCACCTGCTGCTGCCCTACGAACAGGCGCTCACCCGCATCGACTCCACCACCGGCCGCTGGTAAGATGCACGCCGCTGGTGAGCTGCAATGCAACCCTCCCATCACCTGCTGCTGCCCTACGAACAGGCGCTCACCCGCATCGACTCCACCACCGGCCGCTGGTAAGATGCACGCCGCTGGTGAGCTGCAATGCAACCCTCCCATCACCTGCTGCTGCCCTACGAACAGGCGCTCACCCGCATCGACTCCACCACCGGCCGCTGGTAAGATGCACGCCGCTGGTGAGCTGCAATGCAACCCTCCCATCACCTGCTGCTGCCCTACGAACAGGCGCTCACCCGCATCGACTCCACCACCGGCCGCTGGTCTGCTCCCCACCCAACCCATCCCCTCGCCACCCGCCGCTTGCCCCCTCCTCACTTGTCGCCCGCCCCCTTCTCACTTGCCGCACGCCCCCTCCTCATTTGCGACCCGCCCCCTCCTCACTTGCCGCTCGCCCCCTCCTCACTTGCCACTCACCCCCTTCTCACTTGCCGCCCGCTCCCTCCTCTCTTGTCGCCTGCCCCCTCTCACATGCCGCACGCCTTCCCCTCACATGCCGCACGCCTTCCCCTCACATGCCGCCCGCCGCTCCCCTCACATGTCGTTTGCTATGTGAACATCGTATTGAGTCGTTGAAACATTACGGCTCAATCCTCCCCACACTTCCCCTCGCACCCCCTTCGCCACCGCCACCCCTCAACCCCCCAGGTACGACTGCTCGGCGCACTTCATCTGGGTGGGCGAGCGCACGCGACAGCTGGACGGCGCGCACATTGAATTCCTCCGCGGAGTTTCTAACCCCCTCGGCATCAAGGTAAGCGCACTGCCATGCCCTGCCATGCACTGCCATGCACTGCCATGCACTGCCATGCACTGCCATGCACTGCCATGCACTGCCATGCACTGCCATGCACTGCCATGCACTGCCATGCACTGCCATGCACTGCCATGCACTGCCATGCACTGCCATGCACTGCCATGCACTGCCATGCACTGCCATGCACTGCCATGCACTGCCATGCACTGCCATGCACTGCCATGCACTGCCATGCACTGCCATGCACTGCCATGCACTGCCATGCACTGCCATGCACTGCCATGCACTGCCATGCACTGCCATGCACTGCCATGCACTGCCATGCACTGCCATGCACTGCCATGCACTGCCATGCACTGCCATGCACTGCCATGCACTGCCATGCACTGCCATGCACTGCCATGCACTGCCATGCACTGCCATGCACTGCCATGCACTGCCATGCACTGCCATGCACTGCCATGCACTGCCATGCACTGCCATGCACTGCCATGCACTGCCATGCACTGCCATGCACTGCCATGCACTGCCATGCACTGCCATGCACTGCCATGCACTGCCATGCCCTCGGGCATCACATGGGTTCTCACTCTGACGACCGTCATGCCACGCCCAGCAGCGGCAGCGGCAGTCCCAGCTTGGAATGTGTCAGGGGTGGGGATTGGTTGGCAAATGCAGTTGTGCACGAGAGTGTTGAGCATGCTGTGGTGCCGTCGGTGGAGTGCCAGTCGGTGGCACACCCTCAACAAATCACTTCCTCCAAAGCATCTCCCCGCTCCCCTCTCCTTTCCACCCTCCCCTCTCCACCCCCAACCACTCATTCCCTTGATCTGTCTCATCCTCCCTCCCATCTCTCTCTCTCTCTCTCTGCCCCCGGCACAAATGAGTGACAAGTCGCCCCCGCAACCGAGTTTTAACTCGGCCAAAAACTCGCCTCTTATCCTCTCTACGTCCCTCTCTGTGTGTGTCGTGCAGGTGAGTGACAAGATGCCCCCACAGGACCTGGTGGAGGTGTGCCACATCCTCAACCCCGACAACCGGCCTGGGCGCCTGACGGTGATCGTGCGCATGGGCGCGGAGAAGCTGCGCGAGAAGCTGCCCGCGCTGGTGCAGGCCGTGGAGCGCGAGGGGCTGGTGGTCACGTGGGTGTCCGACCCCATGCACGGCAACACCATCAAGGCGCCCAATGGATACAAGACGCGCGACTTCAACTCCATCCGGGTGAGCAAGGGGTGTGTGTGTGTGTGCATGTGCATGATTGTGCGTGCATGTGAGTGTGTGGGGATGTGCAGTTGTATCTCTGCAAGTGAGTGGGTCCTTGGAAGGTCGATTGCGTATGCTTGACAATCATGAGGGCACCACAACACCGATCCTCTCGGATTACACCCAGCTCATGTCCCCTCACTAATTCCACTTGCCTGGCCAACACCTCTCCCCCCCCCCTCAGGCGGAGCTGCGAGCATTCTTTGACGTGCATGAGGAGCTGGGCACGCACCCAGGGGGGGTGCATCTCGAGATGACGGGGCAGAACGTCACCGAGTGTGTGGGCGGCACCAAGGAGGTGACGTTTGACGACCTGTCGTCGCGCTACCACACGCACTGCGACCCGCGCCTCAACGCCAGCCAGAGCCTCGAGCTCGCCTTCCTCATCGCTGACCGCCTCCGCCGAGGCCGTGGCAAGCCCTCGCTCTGGCTGCAGGGGTGAAGCGGTGGGGGGCTGTGCTTGCGCTAGGTGTTTGCCAGGGGGGGGTGTGTAGGGAGGGGTATGTAAAGAGACATAGAGGTGGTTGTTACAAGGTTGCGAGGGGACTAGGGTCCCTGTAGTGTTTGTTGAATTGCTGGTGGATGTGACCGTGTACACTCAGGCTTGCCCGCTCTTGTGAGGAATGAATGGATCGTCGCATTGCACCCAAACAGCTCTGGAAAATCAAGAGCGGTGCTGGCCACCCTCTTTCTTTCAGTGTGTTCAGGGTGATTCATGCTGTTCTCCAAAGACCATCTCTCACCAACATCCAATCGAAAAAGTTCACGATGAGCAGGCAATGCTACATTTACACAAAGCACACATGCTTTTTTACACGCTTTCCTCACCAGAGTATTGAGCTTTTAAATAAATATACGCTGCAGACAGCAGATGGCCATTCAAATGCTCCCGCTGCTCCCCAGGCACGAGTGGTGCCTGCCTGCCTATATGCAGCCGACTCTATTAGTCGACAAAAAAATAGAGATGCTCAGGTGCGGCAGCGCCTAGAAGCCAAGGAGCTGCTGCGACTTGCGCATGAGGAAGGGCAGCGTGGAGGGGTGGAACTTGCGCGCGAAGAGGAAGCAGTTGCGCGGCTCCCCCGCCAGCACACAGTGCCCGCTGGCCACCGCCTGATGGGAGGGAGAGCCACTCACACGTGGATGAGACATGGGATAGGCGAGCTTTGAGTCGACGCATGGGTTGCCTGGGACGCATGGGTTGCCTGGGAAAGAGGGACTCGCATGCGGGCGTGGAGAGGAGAGGCGAGGAGGGAGGCACATGCAGCATGTGGGTGGTGGAGGACTCACCATAGGAGGCTGCGGTGCTGTGGGGTCGGTTATCTGTGCCACATGGTAGTGCATGTGGTAGTGCCGCACACATGGCAGGGAGGGGGGCAGGTGGGGGATGGTGAGAGGCAGGGCCACAGGGGAGGGGGGTTCATGGAACCGTGGGGAGAGGTGCATGGTAGGAGACTGGGGAGTGGAGAGGCAGATGTGCGGTGGATGGGAAGAAGGCGATGGGAGTACACATTGTGTGGATTGAGCTGCGTGAGACGCACGCATGCTGGGTGCACCTGATGATTGGTGCATGCACATTCATGATGCCAACAAGAGACGCATGATGCCAACAAGAGACGCATGATGCAAACCAGACATGCATGATGCCAACCAGACATGCATGATGCCAACCGGACATGCATGATGCCAACCGGACATGCATGATGCCAACAAGACATGCATGATGCCAACCAGACATGCATGATGCCAACCAGACATGCATGTGGCTACGGTACTCACATGTGCATCTCATGATCACAATACGTGCATGCCCAGGCAAGAACGCCCATACAAGCACATGCACATGCATGCAAGGCCACTGCACGCACATGTGAGTAGTTGGATTTGAAGTCTTGCCAGAAGGAGCGGTATGTGATGAACTGCCTTGCCGTCTGCCATGGATGTGCCCCAAGTGCAGGCAGGGCAGTGGAGAGGGGAGATGGCAAGTTGAGGGGGTTCCAAATCCAGGGAGATGCGAACGATGGCAGGGCAGATGGCAAGTGACACGTGGCATGCACTGCTGGCTGCCGGAGGGGGTAAACTTTGTGGGCAGGCAGGAGAGCGCACAGGAGGTGTGTGTGTGTGTGTGTGCGCGCGCGCGTGCGTGCGTGCGTGCGTGCGTGCGTGCGTGCGTGCGTGCGTGCGTGCGTGCGTGCGTGTGTGTGTGTGTGTGTGTGAGGGCAAAAGGCGACGACAAAAGGCAGCAGGGAGGCGGAGACCTTGATGGTGGTGATGAGACGGGTGGTCATGTTGGCGCCCATGTACAGCGCCGGGTGCCACTCGTTCGCACTCCAGTCCGTGAACGTCGTAGGGTAGCGCGATATGCCACGTGGGTCCGTCATCTGTGCCGCAGCATGTTGGGGGGAAGATAGCACGGGAGAGGCTGACAAGGGGGCATTGTAGGGGCGGCATGGTGAAGCGTGGGGTAGCGCGATATGCCGAGCGGACCGTCATCTGTGCCGTTGCATGGGGGGAGATGTTGCAGGGGGAAGCATGACAGGGAGGGCACTGCAGGGGGGAGCATGACAGGGGGGGCACTGCAGGGGGGAGCATGACAGGGAGGGCACTGCAGGGGGGGGATGGTGTGTGGGGCGTGGCAGGGGGGAGCATGGCAGAAGGGGCATGACAGTGAGATGGCATGACGGGGCATTGAGAGAAGAGATAGGCCAACAGTGAGCAAGGTGCGAGCGAGGTGTGAGAGAGGTGTGAGAGAGGCGTGATCGAGGTGTGAGAGAGGTGTGATCGAGGTGTGTGAGAGGTGTGATCGAGGTGTGAGAGAGGTGTGATCGACCCACATGCAAGAAGGTTTGAATGTAATGCTCGTCCGCACAGCACAGCTTGCCCCATTGCAACCGAAACTGCACACACACAGGTGCAGGTGCAGGGGCAACAATGATAAGACATGGGGTATTGGAGATGGAATAGGCATGGTGCATGGGGTGCACATGAAGCATGTGGGACATGGGACAGCGAAACGAAGATGCAGGTAAGGGGATGAATTCGACATGGCTCGTTCAGGCTAGCGGGACATGCGAAGATCTGACATGGCAAGGGGTGGCAAGATCTGGAATAGTGGCACAACGGAGGAGGTTGTTGGACAGTGGAGCACAAGGGAGAGGAGCACAAGGGAGAGGAGCACAAGGGAGAGGAGCACAAGGGAGAGGAGCACAAGGGAGAGGAGCACAAGGGAGAGGAGCACAAGGGAGAGGAGCACAAGGGAGAGGAGCACAAGGGAGAGGAGCACAAGGGAGAGGAGCACAAGGGAGAGGAGCACACGGGAGAGGAGCACACGGGAGAGGAGCACACGGGAGAGGAGCACACGGGAGAGGAGCACACGGGAGAGGAGCACACGGGAGAGGAGCACACGGGAGAGGAGCACACGGGAGAGGAGCACACGGGAGAGGAGCACACGGGAGAGGAGCAGAGGCGGGGGAGGGACAGGGGGGACTGACGGCGCAGCTGAGGTTGTGCTTGGTGTAGTGCAGCCTGTCCCTCACCACCGCCTCCGCATGCCGCCGCTGCAGGATGAACCACTGCGCCCATGCGGTGGGATGCGGTGGGATGCGATGGGATGGGATGGGATGGGATGGGATGGGATGGGATGGGATGGGATGGGATGGGATGGGATGGGATGGGATGAGATGGGATGCGACGCGATGCGATGCGATGCGATGCGATGTGATGTGATGTGATGTGATGTGCATTCAGTGATGCGCATTCATTGCATCCCATGAGCAGTAGATTGTGCATTCAATGACCCATAGAAGATGCAGGTGCAAGAAGCGTGGCATGGAATGCAATGATGTGCATGGCAGGGCAGGGCAGGGTACTCATAGAGAGTGTACGGTTCAGGGGATGCCACATTATTAGAGACGTGAACGGATAGATAAATACCTTGACCTATCGAGGAGTCAAGGGCACAGCACATGCATGTGCCGTGCTTCTACCACGAAACACAAGACCATTGAAGCATGTGGAAGGAAAGAATATATATCGTAACTGGTGTTACACTGTGTTTGTTAACTCGTTCACATAACGAAAATTGGCTCAAGGTGCACTGCACCCACCTGGTTGCCTGTGAGCCGCACTGCACCCACCTGGTTGCCTGTGAGCCGCACTGCACCCACCTGGTTGCCTGTGAGCCGCACCGCACTGCACCCACCTGGTTGCCTGTGAGCCGCACCGCACTGCACCCACCTGGTTGCCCTTAAGGAACTGGTGGCGGCGGATGACAGGCATGAAGATGTGCGGAATGTACCGCCCGAATGACATGTCGTAGGGGTCCGAGTACCTGATAGGGGGGAAGGGTTGAGGGGGGTGGACGTGGGAAAGAGATTTTGCATGTTGAAGGATGAAAAATACGGCAATCGTATTATACGGTCCGTATAATACGATCGTATTTTACGGCCAATTTTCAAAAATTCGGCCGTATTTTTGTTGGAGTTTTTTTTTCTGCAAAAAAAAGAAAACGTGACGTGCTCCTAACATGAAAGAAATTGCTAACTATCAGGCCTAAAATGGTCTAAAACATTTCTATGCCTAGAAAAACGCTCCCCCACGGAACTCAGACTATTATAGGCGGCCCCGCTTGTGCTTCGATTTCGCCTGCCGATCTGCGCAGATCGGCGATTTCGCCCATAGCTCTGCACAGATTGGCGGTTTCGCCGGTCAATTTGATTTCGCCACGAACGGAGTGAGGAAAGAGAGGCACCCCGTCAAAATTGTTGGGACTGAATGTCCCAACCAATTTGTCGCCACTTGCCACCGCACTGGATCTACAAGACCCAATCCCCCATTCACTTTCACAGATCTCGACTTTTACCTCAGCCCAACCCTAGCGCAAGCCTCAGCCCATAACTCAAGTCTATTACTGACGGCCACGGAAATTGTCTGAGCTTCTGTGGGGATGTTCCTGGGCTCCACGGAAACTCAAAATCCCCCTAAGTATTTTGTGAGCACGACGGTCAACACCGAGGTTTAGAAAAGCTTTCACAAATCTCCGTTTCAAATTGTCGGCCGTAAAAAACGACCGTATTTTTTAACCAACCTAAAATTGCAAGGTCTGACCGTATTTTACCGTTTAATACGACCGTAAAATACGATACCGTAAAATACGGTAGATTTTCAATAATTCGGTCGTATTTTTTAACCTTGGTGGAGCGTGGGGCAGCGCACAGGGGTGTGAATCTGGATGAGGGAAGCAGCAGACGCGGGCGGTGTGATGGGTCATGGTCATGCCGGTGGGGAACCATGTGGCATCATTGGAGTGGAGGCACCTCCCTTCCCACATTCACATGCATGCTCTGTGACATCACACTCGCACTCACGCTGACATCCACAGCGTCATTCACAGTGACATATAGGCATATGCACACGCGTAGCTAAGCTGAAAAGAGATGGAAAAACAGGAGTGGAAGCAGGCGAGAGGGAGGAGCGGCACTGACGCGTCAACAAAGCTGGCGGAGGAGGAGGCGATGTAGCTGTACACGTAATCAAACGGCCACAACGGTATGCAGCTGTTGCGCGCCCATGTATGAAGCGTGGGGAGAAAGGGGCGTGGGGGGGAAGGGGCGTGGGGGGCAGGTGGGGGGAGGGGTGAGCGGCACTGACGCGTCGAGGAGGCGATGTAGCTGTGCACGTAATCGAACGGCCACAATCAGCTGATGCCCGCCCAGCCAGGTATGCGGCATGGGGAGGAAATGGGAACGCGGGAAGTGAAACGGGGAGAAAACGGTATCAGGGGGTGCATGAGGAAAAGGGCCACAGAAGAACGCAGTTGATGCACTCCCACAGGGAAAGGGCGCGGGCATGGGAGCCGTGGGGCAGTGCGGGGTGGGCTGGGCCAACGGGAGACTTTGAACTTGAGGCATGAGTGGGTATGGGGGAAACAAGTTATCAAAGATTGGGGAATCAGGAGTTTGGGGCCTGGGATAGAGGGCACTGCACGGTTGAGAAGCACAAGGGTGGTTGGTGCTGGCACGTGGAGGGGTGGCAGGAGTGTGAGGCAAGGCGAGGCAGCGGGGAGAGAGGTATGATATGATGTCAAGTAGCTGCCTTGCTACGCGGGGAAAAGGGGCGGTCAAGGGAGACGTGGAGCGTGGGAGAGAGGTGTGGCCGCCAGGAAACTCGCCTTTCACAGAAAGAAGCCACACCTCGCTGTGAGTTGTTGTGCCTCCCCTCCCCGCCACATGCAGGTGAGCGGCACAGTGTGCCTCCCCTCCCCGCCACACACAACTCACCGTCGCCCGTGGTCCCTGGCCCCTGGGCGCTCACGTGGCCACACGCACCTCTCACTGAGCAGAGCAAAGAAGCTGTTGGCCTCGTCCTGCACGGCCGCCTCCAGCAGGCGCCTCTCCGCATCCACCATTGACATCTCGCCCCACCGCACCTGCCACACACCATTGGTGCATGCATGGGCACGTGGCATGAGTCTAGTTTTGAGGCGCCTTACAAGCCTCCAGCAGGCGCCTCTCTGCATCCACCATCGACATCTCGCCCCACTGAACCTTCCGTGTGCCGTGGACGATGGGTGCCATGGACGATGGGTGCCGTGGACGATGGGTGCCATGGACGATGGGTGCCGTGGACGATGGGTGCCATGGACGATGGGTGCCATGGACGATGGGTGCCATGGACGATGGGTGCCATGGACGATGGGTGCCATGGACGATGGGTGGGAGGAGCATGAGACGTACATTGGGCGATTGGTGGCATCCGTACCGTAGGGCCAAGGGAGCACGGAACCAGGGAGCACGGAACAAAGGAGCACGGAACAAGGGAGCACGGAACAAGGGAGCACGGAACAAGGGAGCACGGAACCAGGGAGCACGGAACCAGGGAGCACGGAACAAGGGAGCACGGAACCAGGGAGCACGGAACCAGGGAGCACGGAACAAGGGAGCACGGAACAAGGGAGCACGGAACAAGGGAGCACGGAACAAGGGAGCACGGAACAAGGGAGCACGGAACAAGGGAGCACGGAACAAGGGAGCACGGAACCAGGGAGCACGGAACCAGGGAGCACGGAACAAGGGAGCACGGAACAAGGGAGCACGGAACCAGGGAGCACGGAACCAGGGAGCACGGAACAAGGGAGCACGGAACAAGGGAGCATGGAACAAGGGAGCACGGAACAAGGGAGCACGGAACAAGGGAGCACGGAACAAGGGAGCACGGAACAAGGGAGCACATGGCAGTGCTGCGTGCAGCAGAGGCACGGAGGCAGAGGCAGCAGAAGACAGGCGCATGACGTGTGATGGACACCTCCGCACACGCCCATTCTCATCCCACCACACGACGCTCACCTCTCCGCCCTGCACGACGCTCACCTCTCCGCCCTGCACGAGGCGGCCGCGGAAGAGGGGCGAGGAGCCGGGCGGGAAGGAGAAGGAGGCGTTGGACGCATGCACGTATATGGAGTAGCGCCCCTCGTGGCCCTGGGGGGTGGGGGAAAGGGGGAAGGGGGGGGGGGGAGAACGACGGGAAGAGGGGTGAATGGTAAGAGGAGGGGGAGAAGGGGGAGAAGGAGTGAGAGGGGAAGAGTGGCCAAGAGGGGGAGGGGCAGGAGTGGCAAGAACAAATGGGGCACGTGAGAGACGCACGAGGGGGAGGAAGAGGGGAGGCGCATGGGGCGCACGAGGGGGGGACGGGAGGAATTTTTCCCAGAGCGGGGCGAGGGGGATGGGGCCGCGCGTGAGGAAGAGCAGCGCGAGGCTGCCGCGGTGCTCCCGCAGCTGCGACCACACGCTGCCCACCTGCACCGCCCCCGCCTGCTCCACCTGCTCCGCCTGCCCCGTCTCCTCCACGCTTATATCGAACGGCGACACAAACGGGGACAGCACGGACATAATGAAGGGGAGCTGCGAGAGGAGCAGCAGCGACGCGGCGAAGACGACGATGAGCGACACGAACACGCGCTGCACGTGGCGCGACGGCGATGGCTTGGAGTCACCGCCGGCACCCTGCTGTGCGGGAGGCGCGAGGGGCGACGCGCCATGGGCCGCGCCGCGAGGCGACGGTGTGGCATCAGCGGCGGCGTGCGCGGGAGTGGGGCTGTGCGCGGGAGCAAGGTGGCGCGCTGGCGGCGGTGGTTCGTGTGAGGGCACGTGCGCGGGAGAGAGGGGGGTCGATAGAGCGAGGGTTGAAGGCGAAACGGCACTGCCGGAGGACGTCGGTATTTGTGTCCCGCGTTGAGCGGGGCTAGCGGGGGGCGCGACGTGGCGAGCGCTACTCGACGGCCTCCTCTCCGCCTTCAGCAGCCGCTCCGTTTCCCGCTCGTGCATCGCCGGCGCGGAGAAGTCCCTACTGCTACAAACCGCACGATCGGACCACAGATGCGTGCTCGTAGTTCTAGCGATACGTGTTGGTGGCGGTGGAGTCGCCTAATCGCGAAACATAATCATGTAGACACATGCTCGCTACAGGTAAAAATACTCTACAAACGACGTCGCACTCGCGATTATTCACCGTCGCGAGTCGTCCTAGACCGTACCAGCCAGCCACTCTACTTGAGAAGCACGTTTCGGTGACAGAAATTGAGGAGCTGTTGGGTGACTGATCTGATAAGCGTTCTTAGGGCGGGGTCAGCGCGTTCGTTCATTCCTCATGTACAGCTCGTTCTGATCGGTTACTATCGTTGCGTCACAGTTTGAAACGGTGACCCTTGGAAACCGCTGTGAACCGTTTGAAATCCTTCTGTGATAAATGAACGCGCTGACCCCGCCCTTGCAGCAATGAAGCAAGCTGGGGTGGTTCTTCTGGTTCGCATTTCTGCATGAGGGTGGGGGTTGCACCCGAGCCTCACAGGTTCATTTTTGGGGGCTGCCACTGGTGGTTCGGTGGCGAGGGCAGGCTCGGCTCGGCAGGGAATTTTGGGTGGCTGAAGGAAGCCGGTGTTTCAATGTGATGTGACGCAACCCGATGAATTCCGAGGCGGTTCGGGGAGCTGTGTAGTGTACTGCACACCTCAGCGAACCAGCAGTGTGCAGCCATGTGGAATCTGCTACAAGCACCTTCCCAACCTGTTCGTTTCATCTAGACTGGGTTCGGTTGGTGCAAATGCATAGCGGTCGGAGCCTTCCGTGAACACATGACCCGCTAAAGGCAGTTACGACTGTGGTTGTATGCTTGCAATACCAGCCATATATACACATATATATATGTGGCTGGTGTATAGAGAAAGACTCCCGAAAGGTTGCGATTTTCCGGACGAAAAGAAGAATGACTAGGGATTGGGAGTGGGAGGGCGAAAGCGAAAGCGGGTTACGGAGGGCCGCACGCCGCGGCCGGCAGTGACCGACGGCGCGCTGATACTGCGCTGCGCCCCTGTAACCTGCTCCCCCAGACCTTTCCGTTCCGCGTTTCAAGATTTTCTTTTTTTGCTGCATTGAGCTGGTGGCAACCGTTCCTGCATCACCTTGTAACTGTTCGCTACGCCATGTCTCACAAGGTTCTTCCTTACTCTCACAAGAGCCGCTCTTCCCAGCGAACACCTCTCCTTATCACTCCATGTCGCTCTTTCGCGCTCGCGAATCTCGTAGCAGCGCTCACCGCGCTGCTCACCCCGTCAACCACCGCGCTGAAACTCGGCCCGTATGTCCCGCCGCCGGACCCTACGACCACTCGCGGCCCGTGCCCGGGCTTCAACACGATGGCGAACCATGGCGTCTTTCCGCGCGACGGCTCCGCCATTCCACGCAGCCTGATTGTCGACGCCTTCAGCAAGTTCTACTCCTTCTCCCCGTCCATGTCGAACGCCATTCTCGATTTCGCCTTCGGGAAAGGCGTGAGGGACCCCGCGGCGCAGACGATCGACCTCGTGCAGCTCCGCGCGCACAACAAGATCGAGCACGACGTGTCGCTCGTCCGCGATGACTCCTACTTCGGTAACAACTACCTCGTAAACGTTACGCTCTTCAACGAAATGCTCAGCTTCTCCGCGACGAAGAAATTCATCACTCTCGGCGAAATCGGCCGTTTCCGCAAGCACCGCTTTGACTCGTGCAAGAAGAACGACCCCGAGATCAGTTTCGACGCGAATCGCCAAGACGTGGCGCTCTCCGAAGCGGCGGCGCTGGCAGGGGTGTTCGGCGGAAGGGTCCGCGCTTACGCGGTTCCGATTGACTACCTCAAGTCGTTTCTCCGTGATGAGCGCTATCCCAAAGGCTTCAAACCGCCGGTTGTTCCGCTGAGCTTACCTGAGCTGCTCGCCGTGTCGGCGCACATCAAGCTCGCCGCGTCATTGGCGGCGATATATGACTTATCGCGATAATCTGTGAAGTGCCAGACTTCCAGCACATCCCAAGAAGGTACATGGTGCAGAAATAAAGTGTAGCTGGTTTTTTGCCAATAATGCTGGTTGTTAGCTTACCATCAATAACAGATTCTTCTGCAAGGATCAGAATATACGTATTAGACTATCCAGCTAGCAACAGCACCAGAACAAACTGCATTACTCATCAACATAATTGGCATCCACACCTTCCAGATGCACCTGGAACTACTCCCCTCCTGGCCATCTTTTCATCTGCCACCTATCCAGCACTAACAGATACGGTACTCGCCTGGCATTTTCTCATTTGGTGCTACTTGGTGCCTATTGGCTATATGGACCTATGGTACATCCGTGAGGTTACTGCTGAGTGACTCTGCTGCTGCTGTGTCTGTGTCTCAACTCCTCAGCCACACTTGAACCCTTCTCTGCTGCCACCTGGCACTCTCCCACAACACCGTTTCCCACCCCATCCAACCCCTTCTTTTTCCCCTTCCCCTTCTCCCCACTGTCATCGCTACCAGCAGAGCCATGAGCCGACCTCTCAACGTCAGCAGCGCCACTCGCGCCGTGATTGGTCACCAGTGGTGCACCGGCGCACATGTGGCGGGCCATGGTGGAGAGGCGCATCAGCCTTCGCCGCCTCTCTCTGCGCTCAATCTCCTGCACCACCTCGTGGTCGCCCGGGCACACATGCCTGGAAGGACACACAGGATGAGGTGGGGTGAAAGGGAAAATGCTAGTGAGCATCAGGGATGAAGCGGTTTAGAATGCTTGAGGCACCACAGTATGGGCCTCCACAATTCCCACTGCTTCCCTTTTCACTTGACCCACTGCACCAGCTGCTCGTGTCCTGGACACACACATGGCTGGGGAAGACGTAGAGCAGAATGCAGTGCAAGACTGAGCAGATAGTACGAGGCATCAAGATTGCCCATATCCTCCCCTCCCCACGCAGCGCCCCCATGCTCACCTCCAAATCCCCCGGATGGCATATGAGGGCAGCATGGCGGCGACGACGGCGAGCAGCAGGTTGAGCCAGAAGCTGGCGGCGGGCAGCAGCTGCGCTGCCACGCCCACCAGATTGCCGACCCACTTGGCTGGCAGGTAGCTGCCGACCGTCATGAGGATGAAGAAGAAGAGGATGGAGCCGAATATGGTCAGGAAATGCAGCACGTTCCAATACTGTGGGGGGGAGGCGGAACGGAGGAGGCGGAAAGGGGGAAAAGGGGGAGGAGGGCGGGAAAAGAGAGGGATTTCTTCATAAAAGAGAGTAACGTTTGTTGGATGGGTCATACAGAAATACGGCGAGGTAGTTCAGAGAGTCTGTGCTTCGAGGATGTTGCAATACTGTCTGGGGAGTGGTGGAAGGGCAGGATGAAAGAGGGGCCGAGCAGGGAAGAGAAAGGGAGGACGCGAGAGGCGATTCAAAGGAGAGCGTGGTGGTATGTTAGCCCCAGGCCACTCATGCCCTCACACACTCAGCATGGCGCTATCACCAACAGCTCCCACGTGCACATTAGAGAACTCCAGGATGGAGAAGCGTGTCACCTGCACGTTGGAGCCGAGCTCAAGGTTGACGGTGGTGACGACGGCGGCATACATGATGGTGCCGATGGCGGTGAGGTCGAGGATGAGCCCGGTGCTGCGGTCGGGCACGAGGGCGAAGGGCAGCAGCGTGAGGGCGAAGATGATGCCCGCCTGCACCAGCCCGTTCACCATCCAGCTCGCCACGCTCACCACCGAAAAGTACTCGTTGCGCTGGCCCTGGGGTTGGGGGGGAGTGAAAGAGAGGAGGGCGTGGGGAATGGGCAGTGGAGCCATGCACCTCGCCACGCTCAACAATGACACGTGCTTGATGCGCCGGCCCTGGGGAGAGGGAAGGTGGGGTGGGGTTGTGGCGAATGGGAGGTGACGAGCACAGCCCTGAGAAGCATTCGTTGCGCTCCGTAGAGGGCGGGGATAGATTTTTCAAGAGAGGGGCCGCGAATGTGGTGTGTGGGGAGCAAGGAAGAAAAGGGCCTTGGGCCCTCCTTCCCATGCACCCACAGGGCAGGAGGGAGCAAGGGCGCAAGTGTAAGTTCACATTCCTCTAGTTACTGCTTGCCCACTAGCACACCCACCCACGCACCTGCTTGTAGAGCTGAGGATAGCGCAGGCGGTAGACGGCCTTGACGTCCTGGTCCATGACGCCCACGACACCGATGGGCAGCGAGGTGAAGAACACCATGAAGAGCGTGAGGTACCAGTCGTAGTACACCGCCGTGCCGGAGAAGAACGCCAGGCAGTTGTAGAAGAGGATGGTGAAGGCGAACACGAAACACTTGTAGAAGAAGTAGGTTATCTGCGTGTGGGGGGGAGGACGTGGGATGGGGGCGGATTGGATACAGAGGAGAGGTATGGTGGGAGTCGGGGGTGCGATGGTCAAGGCGAAAGCGAAGTGCTTCAAGGAGTAGGTGATGCCATGTGAGATGGTGTGAGATGGGGTGAGATGGGTGAGATGGGGTGAGATGGGGTGAGATGGGGTGGGATGGGGTGAGATGGGTGGGACAACGTGGAATGGGATGGGATACAGAGTGCAACGAGGGAAGCAGGGTGTGGTGAAGAAGAGGAGCAAGCAATGGAGGTGAAAACGAAGGTGTGGTTTGGAAAGGACATGACGGCTGTGCGCAGAAGCAGCAGTTATTACACACATACAAGTAATGCCTAGCACGTAAGAGCCCGCTCATGTGATGCCTAGCACGTAAGAGCCCGCACTCACCAGAATGCAAATGCGCTTGTAGCACCACCCCCCGTGCACCAGCAGCAGCCGCTCTAAGAATCTGAACTGGCCTATGGCAAAGTCAGACGCCATGACAGCCTGGCCATGGGAGACACGCACAAGGTGGGCGGGAGATTGAGCATGCGGGGCGATGAATGCTGTCTCAGGGAGACACAATGGGTGGCGCACAATGGCCATCACAGCAGTAGCAGCCATGCTATGATATCGTGTAGCATGCATGCTGCATTTGCTATCTGTGCCACAAGACCACGCGGCCTACTCCTCACATCCCCACTCTCAGGTACACTGACAAGCAATCGAGGTGAAAACGAAGGTCATCAAACCACTGAATCTCTCTCCTGGCTTTATCTATCCCCCGTCCCCTGCTCCACCTCCTGCCACCCTCCCCCCTTCAATCCCAATGCTAATGCTTCCATTCTGAACAGTGCCCATGTCACACGCACCCTCATCTATCATACCCTTACTGCCCAACGTCCACATTCCGACAGCAAACCTGTCCCTCACCTGCTGGCCCTCCTCGCCGCGAATCCCCACGCCAATATTCGCCTTCTGGATCATGCCCACGTCGTTCGCCCCCGTCCCCAATGGCCAGGCAGATCTGCTTGCCCTCGCGCCGCACCATGGCCGTCACCTGCGCCTTCTGCTTGGGCGACACGCGGCAGCAGCAGATGACGGACGCGCACTGCAGCGCCAGCTCCAGGAAGGCAGCGCGCAGGGCATCGTCCGCCAGCACCAGTGCCAGCGCCTTGCCGTCTATCACCACTGCGTGCTCCTGTGCCGCCCCGCCCTCGCTCCCACTCTCACTCCCCTTCCACTCTCGCCCTCACTCCTGCCTCCATCCCCGCTGTGCTCCTGCGCAGGGTTATCGGCACGGTTGCTGGTTGTGCCACTCGCCGCTGTGGTGCCTGTCTGCTGTGCGCCGGCCCACTGTGCGGCGGCCACGGACTCACTGGCTGCCAGGATCTGCGAGCGCACCAACTCCGCTGCAAACTGCAGCGCGCGGAAGCGAGCGTGGAGAAGAGGGTGCAACGAGGCGTTGGGAGGGAAGGGAGTGGGGCGTGGAGAGGAGTGGAGAGGCGAGGGCGCAGAGGAGAGTGGTTCATTACTCAGTGCATAAGAGCTGCCGGGTGCCGAGCATGGAGGATGGGACCGGGAAGGGGGAAATGGGTGCACTTGGGGGGAGCATCGAGAGGATGGGTGCGGTGGGGCAGAAAGTGCATAGAAGTAAACATAGGGTTAGGCAAGAGGAAAGCAAAGACGATCGCACTGTGACCGAGAAGATAATCAAAGGATCGACTTAACAACAGGCCACGCAGGCCACACAACACGGCCCTAAGTGGGGGCACAGCACAGCAAGGCAGTGGTATCACTCACCTCCTTGAGCGCAAGGAGAGGAGTGGAGAGGCGAGGCGAGGGCAGAGAGGAGAGTGGTTCATTACTCAGTGCATAAGAGCTGCCGGGTGCCGAGCATGGAGGATGGGACCGGGAAGGGGGAAATGGGTGCACTTGGGGGAGCATCGAGAGGATGGGTGCGGTGGGGCAGAAAGTGCATAGAAGTAAACATAGGGTTAGGCAAGAGGAAAAGCAAAGACGATCGCACTGTGACCGAGAAGATAATCAAAGGATCGACTTAACAACAGGCACGCAGGGCCACACGGCCCTAAGTGGGCACAGCACAGCAAGGCAGTGGTATCACTCACCTCCTTGAGCGCAAACACCACGCCTGGCAGCCTCCTTAGCGGCAGCGTCATTATCCTCGAGAAAGACGAGGTGCTGCTGCATGTGGTGGCGCAGCAGGCTGCACAGCACCGCACCGCACAGAACCGCACAGCACTGTCGCTCACCTCTTTGAGAGGCACACGCCCCTTCTGGCAGCCTCCTTGGCAGCGGCGTCATTATCCTCGAGGAAGAGACGAGGTGCTGCTGCATGTGGTGGCGCAGCAGGCTGCACGCGAAGCCGATGTTGATGGCCGTCTCCAGCTTGTCGCCCGTCAGCACCCACAGCTTTATCCCGCCTGCGCCAATGCCTCTATGGCCTGTGGCACTCCCACCTGGTGAGGGCATGGGGGCAAGTGAGGAGCGGGCAGGCGCATGGAGAGAAGGGGACGGGGAGAGGAGCATGGGGGAACGCGAAACGTCTGAGTGCGCCACGCTCTGCGGCACTCACACAGCTGTGCACCTACCCTCCCTCTCGGCCTACCTGCAGCTTGTCTTCAATGGCAGTAGCCCCCACCAGCACCAGTCCGCTCTCCAGCTCGTCAGCCAGAGCCTCCAGTCGCTCCGCCTGCACCACGCGCGTCCGCCACGTACCCCTTGGCCTCCACCCACCGCTGCTGCCACGCCGCGTACTCCTCCTCGCCCACCTCCCTCCCGCTATCGCCAGGGTCCTCAGCCCCGCTTCTGCGTACATGGTCATGTGTGCGCTCTGTGATTGGCCGGTACCTCTGGGCGTGGTCGGAGGTCCCGAGGACCGGTCCTGCCCACACTCCACCGCGCGCCATACTCCCTCACTTTGAGCTCGTTGCCCTGCCGGCCCAGGAACAGGAACCCCAGACGCTTGGCCGCCACCCACAAACGCCGCCTCATCGGGTGACTCCGCCAGGAACCTCACCGCCTCCCCATCCACCGCCTCCTCCCCCCCGTCGTACCAGCAGCGACGGCGTCGTCTCTCCCCTCCGCTTTCCCCTTCCCCTGGCAGCAGCGGCGTGCCCCCTCCACCCATCACCCCCGCGCCCTGCACTAGCTGCCCCACCTCTCACACTGGATCCCCCACTCGCCAGGCTCACGCTGCTGCTGCTACCCGTCATCCCGGGACTCGCCCCCACGCCCACCCCACCTGCGCCATTCCCCATCACACCCCCGCCCCCCACACCTGCAGCAGCACTGCCCATGGCGAAAATATTACTACTAGCAGCGCGCTCAATGGGAGCGTGTCCACACGACAGTGTGGCACACCGACAGCACCTCCAAAAACCTCCTAAATCTCATCGGCGCACGGCTGCTCCACCCACTTCATGCCGTCCAGCCGTGGGTCGCGCATGTTAAAGCCTTTCTCCAGGGGGCGCTCGGGGACGTACACCTGGTCGTCGTCCTCGTCCTCTTCTGGGGGAGGGCGGCCTGCGCGCTGGGGCGGCGGGCCTTTTCAACCTCGGTGACGCCCATGCCGTAGGGGATACCAGCGATGGAGCACTTGAAGAACTCCATCTGGTTGCGCGTCAGCGTGCCCGTCTTGTCTGATAGCACCGTGCGCACCTGATGGGCAGCGCAGGGGCGGGGGTGGGAGGTGGGGAGGGCCAAGGGATTACTGGAAGAGCTTCATCTGGTTGCGCGTCAGTGTGCCTGTCTTGTCTGATAGCACCGTGCGCACCTGGCAGGCAGCACAGGAGCGGGTGGGGGATTGGGGGAGGGTGAAGTGAGCAGCATGCCCGTCTTGTTTGATAGCACCGTGCGCACCTGATGGGCGTGACCGGGGGGGCAACAAGTGCAGGGATGGGCGGGAAGGCATGCAGGGAGAAGAAAGCGGCTTTGAGGTTCAGCCGTTCAATCCCCAATTAGCCACATGTTCGTCCCTTTGTGTTCGTCCCTTTTTGTCCTTCCTTTTTGTCCTTTCCTTTTGTTTCCTTTCCTTTCCTTTCCTTTCCATTACTCTTTCCTTGAATTCTCCCTCCACTTGAATTCGTCCTCCCCGGCATTCTCACTCACCAAGCCACCACCGTGCTGCAGCTCACCATGCCAAGCTCCTAGTTGATGTTAACGGTGCGTGTGCAATGGCGGGGATGACCTTCACAGCCCCTCTTCCAGGGCCTCCACTCATCCCACCCTGCACTCACCTCACCATGTCACCCACCGAGCCTCACCACGCCACACCACCGCACCGCACCGCACCGAGCCTCACCATGCCGAGCTCCTCGTTGATGTTGGAGGTGCGGGCGAGCGCAGGGATTGTCCTTGTCGTGTGTAGACATGTGCAGGTCGAAAGAGATGGTCACCGCCTGCATCAGCTTCACTATCTCCATCGTCACGTACAAAGATATCGGCACAAAGTAGCCTGCATGGGGGGGGGAGAAAAGAGGGGTAGGAGGAGGGGGTGGAACGGGAGAGAGGGGTGTGAAAGTGAAAGGCGAAGGGACAAGAGGAGGGGGTGTAAGGGGAGGGATGTGAGAGGGGATGGATGAGTGTGGAGGCGATGAGAGTTGATGGGTTTGAAAGGGTACGGATGAGATGAGAGGGGGTACGGGATGAGAGGGTACGGGATGAGAGGGTACGGGATGAGAGGGTACGGGATGAGAGGGTACGGGATGAGAGGGTACGGGATGAGAGGGTACGGGATGAGAGGGTACGGGATGAGAGGGGTACGGGATGAGAGGGTACGGGATGAGAGGGTACGGGATGAGAGGGTACGGGATGAGAGGGTACGGGATGAGAGGGTACGGATGAGAGGGTACGGGATGAGAGGGTACGGGATGAGACGGGCGAGAGGGTACGGGATGAGAGGGTACGGGATGAGAGGGTACGGGATGATGAGAGGGTACGGGATGAGAGGGTACGGGATGAGAGGGTACGGGATGAGAGGGTACGGGATGAGAGGGTACGGGATGAGAGGGTACGGGATGAGAGGGTACGGGATGAGAGGGTACGGGATGAGAGGGTACGGGATGAGAGGGTACGGGATGAGAGGGTACGGGATGAGAGGGTACGGGATGAGAGGGTACGGGATGAGAGGGTACGGGATGAGAGGGCGGGATGAGAGGGTACGGGATGAGAGGGTACGGATGAGAGGGTACGGGATGAGAGGGGGTACGGGATGAGAGGGTACGGGATGAGAGGGTACGGGATGAGAGGGTACGGGATGAGAGGGTACGGGATGAGAGGGTACGGGATGAGAGGGTACGGGATGAGAGGGTACGGGATGAGAGGGTACGGGATGAGAGGGTACGGGATGAGAGGGTGGGTACGGGATGAGAGGGTACGGGATGAGAGGGTACGGGATGAGAGGGTACGGGATGAGAGGGTACGGGATGAGAGGGTACGGGATGAGAGGGTACGGGATGAGAGGGTACGGGATGAGATGAGAGGGTACGGGATGAGAGGGTACGGGATGAGAGGGTACGGGATGAGAGGGTACGGGATGAGAGGGTACGGGATGAGAGGGTAAAGAGGGTACGGGATGAGAGGGTACGGGATGAGAGGGTACGGGATGAGAGGGTACGGGATGAGAGGGTACGGGATGAGAGGGTACGGGATGAGAGGGTACGGGATGAGAGGGTACGGGATGAGAGGGTACGGGATGAGAGGGTACGGGATGAGAGGGTACGGGATGAGAGGGTACGGGATGAGAGGGTACGGGATGAGAGGGTACGGGATGAGAGGGTACGGGATGAGAGGGTACGGGATGAGAGGGTACGGGATGAGAGGGTACGGGATGGGATGAGAGGGTACGGGATGAGAGGGTACGGGATGAGAGGGTAGGGAGGGATGAGAGGGTACGGGATGAGAGGGTACGGGATGAGAGGGTACGGGATGAGAGGGTACGGGATGAGAGGGTACGGGATGAGAGGGTACGGGATGAGAGGGTACGGGATGAGAGGGTACGGGATGAGAGGGTACGGGATGAGAGGATGAGAGGGTACGGGATGAGAGGGTACGGGAGAGAGGGTACGGGATGAGAGGGTACGGGATGAGAGGGTACGGGATGAGAGGGTACGGGATGCGGAGGGTACGGGGATGATGAGAGGGTACGGGATGAGAGGGTACGGGATGAGAGGGGGGGTACGGGATGAGAGGGTACGGGATGAGAGGGTACGGGATGAGAGGTACGGGATGAGAGGGTACGGAGATGAGAGGGTACGGGATGAGAGGGTACGGGATGAGAGGGTACGGGATGAGAGGGTACGGGATGAGAGGTACGGGATGAGAGGGTACGGGATGAGAGGGTACGGGATATGAGAGGGTACGGGATGAGAGGGTACGGGATGAGGGTACGGGATGGATGATGAGGGTACGGGATGAGAGGGTACGGGATGAGAGGGTACGGGATGAGAGGGTACGGGATGAGAGGGTACGGGATGAGAGGGTACGGGATGAGAGGGTACGGGATGAGAGGGTACGGGATGAGAGGGTACGGGATGAGAGGGTACGGGATGAGAGGGTACGGGATGAGAGGGTACGGGATGAGAGGGTACGGGATGGAGAGGGGGTACGGGATGAGAGGGTACGGGATGAGAGGGTACGGGATGAGAGGGTACGGGATGAGAGGGTACGGGATGAGAGGGTACGGGATGAGAGGGTACGGGATGAGAGGGTACGGGATGAGAGGGTACGGGATGAGAGGGTACGGGATGAGAGGGTACGGGATGAGAGGGTACGGGATGAGAGGGTACGGGATGAGAGGGTACGGGATGAGAGGGTACGGGATGAGAGGGTACGGGATGAGAGGGTACGGGATGAGAGGGTACGGGATGAGAGGGTACGGGATGAGAGGGTACGGGATGAGAGGGTACGGGATGAGAGGGTACGGGATGAGAGGGTACGGGATGAGAGGGTACGGGATGAGAGGGTACGGGATGAGAGGGTACGGGATGAGAGGGTACGGGATGAGAGGTACGGGATGAGAGGGTACGGGATGAGAGAGAGGGTACGGGATGAGAGGGTACGGGATGAGAGGGTACGGGATGAGAGGTACGGGATGAGAGGGTACGGGATGAGAGGGTACGGGATGAGAGGGTACGGGATGAGAGGGTACGGGATGAGAGGGTACGGGATGAGGGGTACGGGATGAGAGGGTACGGGATGAGAGGGTACGGGATGAGAGGGTACGGGATGAGAGGGTACGGGATGAGAGGGTACGGATGATAGGGTACGGGATGAGAGGGTACGGTGAGAGGGTACGGGATGAGAGGGTACGGGATGAGAGGGTACGGGATGAGAGGGTACGGGATGAGAGGGTACGGGATGAGAGGGTACGGGATGAGAGTACGGGATGAGAGGTACGGGATGAGAGGGTACGGGATGAGAGGGTACGGGATGAGAGGGTACGGGATGAGAGGGTACGGGATGAGAGGGTATGGATGAGATGGTACGTGAAGAGAGGGTACGGGGATGAGAGGGTACGGGATGAGAGGGTACGGGATGAGAGGGTACGGGATGAGAGGGTACGGGATGAGAGGGTACGGATGAGAGGGTACGGGGATGAGAGGGTACGGGATGAGAGGGTACGGGATGAGAGGGTACGGGATGAGAGGGTACGGGATGAGAGGGTACGGGATGAGAGGGTAACGATGAGAGGGTACGGGATGAGAGGGTACGGGATGAGAGGGTACGGGATGAGAGGGTACGGGATGAGAGGGTACGGGATGAGAGGAGAGGGTACGGGATGAGAGGGTACGGGATGAGAGGGTACGGGATGAGAGGGTACGGGATGAGAGGGTACGGGATGAGAGGGTACGGATGAGAGGGTACGGGATGAGAGGGTACGGGATGAGAGGGTACGGGATGAGAGGGTACGGGAGAGAGGGTACGGGATGAGAGGGTACGGGATGAGAGGGTACGGGATGAGAGGGTACGGATGAGAGGGTACGGGATGAGAGGGTACGGGATGAGAGGGTACGGATGAGAGGGTACGGGATGAGAGGGTACGGGATGAGAGGGTACGGGATGAGAGGGTACGGGATGAGAGGGTACGGGATGAGAGGGTACGGGATGAGAGGGTACGGGATGAGAGGGTACGGGATGAGAGGGTACGGGATGAGAGGTACGGGATGAGAGTTACGGGATGAGAGGGTACGGGAGAGGGTACGGGATGAGAGGGTACGGGATGAGAGGGTACGGGATAGAGGGTACGGGATGAGAGGGTACGGGATGAGAGGGTACGGGATGAGAGGGTACGGGATGAGAGGGTACGGGATGAGAGGGTACGGGATGAGAGGGTACGGGATGAGAGGGTACGGGATGAGAGGGTACGGGATGAGAGGGTACGGGATGAGAGGGTACGGGATGAGAGGGTACGGGATGAGAGGGTACGGGATGAGAGGGTACGGGATGAGAGGGTACGGGATGAGAGGGTACGGGATGAGAGGGTACGGGATGAGAGGGTACGGGATGAGAGGGTACGGGATGAGAGGGTACGGGATGAGAGGGTACGGGATGAGAGGGTACGGGATGAGAGGGTACGGGATGAGAGGGTACGGGATGAGAGGGTACGGGAATGAGAGGGTACGGGATGAGAGGGTACGGGATGAGAGGGTACGGGATGAGAGGGTACGGGATGAGAGGGTACGGGATGAGAGGGTACGGGATGAGAGGGTACGGACGGGATGAGAGGGTACGGGATGAGAGGGTACGGGATGAGAGGGTACGGGATGAGAGGGTACGGGATGAGAGGGTACGGGATGAGAGGTACGGGATGAGAGGTACGGGATGAGAGGGTACGGGATGAGAGGGTACGGGATGAGAGGGTACGGGATGAGAGGGTACGGGATGAGAGGGTACGGATGAGAGGGTACGGGATGAGAGGGTACGGGATGAGAGGGTACGGGATGAGAGGGTACGGGATGAGAGGGTACGGGATGAGAGGGTACGGGATGAGAGGGTACGGATGAGAGGGTACGGGATGAGAGGGTACGGGATGAGAGGGTACGGGATGAGAGGGTACGGGATGAGAGGGTACGGGATGAGAGGGTACGGGATGAGAGGGTACGGGATGAGAGGGTACGGGATGAGAGGTACGGGATGAGAGGGTACGGGATGAGGGTACGGGATGAGAGGGTACGGGATGAGAGGGTACGGGATGAGAGGGTACGGGATGAGAGGGTACGGGATGAGAGGGTACGGGATGAGAGGGTACGGGATGAGAGGGTACGGGATGAGAGGGTACGGGATGAGAGGGTACGGGATGAGAGGTACGGGATGAGAGGGTACGGATGAGAGGGGAGAGGATGAGAGGGGGAAGGATGAGAGGGGGAGAGGGATGAGAGGGGGAGAGATGAGAGGGGGAGAGAGATAGAGGGTACGGGATGAGAGGGTACGGGATGAGAGGGTACGGATGAGAGGGTACGGGATGAGAGGGTACGGGATGAGAGGGTACGGGATGAGAGGACGGGATAGAGGGTACGGGATGAGAGGGTACGGGATGAGAGGGTACGGGATGAGAGGGTACGGGATGAGAGGGTACGGGATGAGAGGGTACGGATGAGAGGGTACGGGATGAGAGGGTACGGGATGAGAGGGTACGGGATGAGAGGGTACGGGATGAGAGGGTACGGGATGAGAGGGTACGGGATGAGAGGGTACGGGATGAAGGGTACGGGATGAGAGGGTACGGGATGAGAGGGTACGGGATGAGAGGGTACGGGATGAAGGGTACGGGATGAGAGGGTACGGGATGAGAGGGTACGGGATGAGAGGGTACGGGATGGAGGGGGTACGGGATGAGAGGGTACGGGATGAGAGGGTAAGGGATGAGAGGGTACGGGATGAGAGGGTACGGGATGAGAGGGTACGGATGAGAGGGTACGGGATGAGAGGGTACGGGATGAGAGGGTACGGGATGAGAGGGTACGGGATGAGAGGGTACGACGGGAGGAGAGGGTACGGGATGAGAGGGTACGGGATGAGGGTACGGGATGAGAGGGTACGGGATGAGAGGGTACGGGATGAGAGGGTACGGGATGAGAGGGACGGGATGAGAGGGTACGGGATGAGAGGGTACGGGATGAGAGGGTACGGGATGAGAGGGTACGGGATGAGAGGGTACGGGATGAGAGGGTACGGGATGAGAGGGTACGGATGAGAGGGTACGGGATGAGAGGGTACGGGATGAGAGGGTACGGGATGAGAGGGTACGGGATGAGAGGGTACGGGATGAGAGGGTACGGGATGAGAGGGTACGGGATGAGAGGGTACGGGATGAGAGGGTACGGGAGAGAGGGTACGGGATGAGAGGGTACGGGATGAGAGGGTACGGGATGAGAGGGTACGGATGAGAGGGTACGGGATGAGAGGGTACGGGATGAGAGGGTACGGGATGAGAGGGTACGGGATGAGAGGGTACGGGATGAGAGGGTACGGGATGAGAGGGTACGGGATGAGAGGGTACGGGATGAAGGGTACGGGATGAGAGGGTACGGGATGAGAGGGTACGGGATGAGAGGGGTACGGGATGAGAGGGTACGGGATGAGAGGGTACGGGATGAGAGGGGGCGGGATGAGAGGGTACGGGATGAAGGGGTTAGGGATGAGAGGGTACGGATGAGAGGGTACGGGATGAGAGGGTACGGATGAGAGGGTACGGGATGAGAGGGTACGGGATGAGAGGGTACGGGATGAGAGGGTACGGGATGAGAGGGTACGGGATGAGAGGGTACGGGATGAGAGGGTACGGGATGAGAGGGTACGGGATGAGAGGGTACGGGATGAGAGGGTACGGGATGAGAGGGTACGGGATGAGGGGTACGGGATGAGAGGGTACGGGATGAGAGGGTACGGGATGAGAGGGTACGGGATGAGGAGAGGGTACGGGATGAGAGGGTACGGGATGAGAGGGTACGGGATGAGAGGGTACGGGATGAGAGGGTACGGATGAGAGGGTACGGGATGAGAGGGTACGGGATGAGAGGGTACGGGATGAGAGGGTACGGGATGAGAGGGTACGGGATGAGAGGTACGGGATGAGAGGGTACGGGATGAGAGGGTACGGGATGAGAGGGTACGGGATGAGAGGGTACGGGATGAGAGGGTACGGGATGAGAGGGTACGGGATGAGAGGGTACGGGATGAGAGGGTACGGGATGAGAGGGTACGGATGAGAGGGTACGGGATGAGAGGGTACGGGATGAGAGGGTACGGGATGAGAGGGTACGGGATGAGAGGGTACGGGATGAGAGGGTACGGGATGAGAGGGTACGGGATGAGAGGGTACGGGATGAGAGGGGAGAGGATGAGAGGGAGGGGATGAGAGGGGAGGGTGGGGGATGAGAGAGGAGGGGATGAAAAGGGGGATGGGGGGGAGAAAGGAGGGGACGAGAGAGGAGCAGAACATGTGAGGGGAGGGAAGGGGATGGAGGGGATGAAATGGGAGAGGATGAGAGGGAAGGGAACAAGAGGGAGCGGCAATGGCCATACCATAGAGAACGAGGCACGTGAAGAACTGGCAGCACGCCTGCCAGAGCGGGGTTGTCCGCGTTATACTGCGCCTTGTTAAGCCCCGTGAGCTGCGCGTTCTGATCCAGCTCCAGGTACCACATGTACTGCTCCTGGTACGGCAGCCGCGCCGCGAAGACCGCGGCGGGGAAGATCGCGAGCGACAGCATGAGAACGAGCTCGAAAATGATGACGTAATCAAGCCGTTTTTCCACGAAGCTTCGCTTGGACGGCGGGTCCGTGGCGTTCATCATGATCTTCGTCTCGCGACCTGAATACACCACCAGACCCACCGCGTACCGCGTGTTTCTTAACTTGGAGCCGCGGAGGAGAATGTTAGTCGGCGAGAGGAAAATGGGCGTCTCTTGGAGGCCCTCGAGGCGCATCTTTCCCGTGAACGTGTAAATCGAGACGTTGGGATGCTCGCACTCCACAGTGCCTCTTAATCTCGCCAGCTGCGACCCGTCGAGCGAATACGTCTCGTGAAGCGCCTGGCGCAACTTTAGATTCGTCTCGCCGTCCAGATTCATCGTTTCTACGTAACACGACCCGTCCTCGCTGCTGCTGCTGGCTAAGCAGATCAAATCCGCGGGAAAGTACGTGTCGCCTTCTACCTGCACTATGTCGCCGACTCTTAACTCCCTCCATTCTCGCATCGCCTCCGACCCATCAGGAAGATCACGCGTATTTTCCGCTTATTCGTCTCGTAGTCCGACGCGCCGCGTTTAATATCCTCCCATAGCTCCTTAAGCATGGCGAGGCCGATGACGAAGACGAGAGGGGTGATGGTGGTGATGGGCATGACGGGACTGAGCGGCGTGAGGGAAATGATGGCGTTGAACAGGAAATAGAAGTTCGCGACTCGTCTGAACTGCTCGAAGAGGCCTCGCGGAATGAATGTGTACCACGTGTACTTGGTCGTTGCGATCTTGTTGCTGCTGAATCTAAATTCCTCGTTGCTGTCAGCATCGTTAATGTAAAAGAGCCGGTCCTCTCGCTGCTCCGGCTTTTTTAAAGAATCTTCGTATTCTGCCGAAGAAGCCCGTCATCCTTGTTCGCACTAGTTTTTGTCTGATACAAGCTTCCCTCGAAAGATTAAGATAGCACTTGCTATGTGTCCTGGTAGCGTACTGGCATGGTAACCGATGTACCAGCTAGTAGCCACTGACTAAAAGAATCGAAGAAAACTAACGAAAATGCGTCGAGACCCAGGAAAGGAAGGCGAGCTGGTAAAGAACAACCTTCACCAGCAAAGGACACCCTTCAGACTAAATCATCTCGTATTACGAAGCCACCATGCTCATGGAACCGAACTCGTACCGTGTGGTGCGGTCCCAGTTCATAGCACATGGTTGATGGCTCGAAGGGTGGTGTTGCAGAGCGCCGAAAGGCAAAGTGCTGCTTGCGGTTCGGCATGACTGACACAAGCCGCAACAGTAAATTGTTCAACGGACGGACACTGATCTTTTACCAACATAACTCCATTCGAAACTGTTCTGAACAAAATACTAAATAGATATAGTTCAGTAGAATTGGCCACGAGTTGATTAGTTCTTGGAACAGCGTAGCTCTTAGACCGCCATGGAACCGGATTAATAGTATCAGGCTCTTACGTGTCGTACATATCTTATCAGTTCCCACATCCGATGGCGTTTTTGGAATCTACGTGGCAAGACGCACCTGGGGGGGGGATATTTTTGTGCCTATTGTTTCGAATAGTAAATTGAGAAAGAACATTGTACACTCCTCACAACAGCAAGCGAAGCACACAGTACCGGCGCTGGAGATGAAGAGACAGAAATAACTCGAAGCGACGCGAACAGTTGGAGAGCATCTGGGTCGTCGGGGCAGAAACATCAGGCACTGCAGGAGCGAGAAAATTGGCGGGAACAGTTCGTAACTGTTCGCGCCGCATGGTTGGGTTTGAATTCGAATAAGGGAACATACCACTTAGAGTACATGGCTAGGTAGGACGTCTGGTATATTCCATCTGTACTCATTTATACGTTTGTATTTGCGTGTATTAGCATCTCAATCATTTTACATCACCCTGATTTGAGGTCAAGGGCTCACCACTACCACACACACTCTGTGCGAACCTTCCCGAGGTGATTCCTTGTTACGAAATAATGAATGAAGAATACAGTACACTCCCGATCGCAACTAAGGAAGCATGCAGTATCGAGAACGAATGCGAAGAGTCAGAATTGACTCGAAGCGTCAGACGGTTAGGGTGGATCTAGACCGTCGGAGAACAGACGGCATGACGGACAGCTGCAGGCAAAGGGGTTTGGCGGGAACAAATCCGTAACTGTACGCGCCGCACGGTGGGAATGAATTTGAATAAGGGAATGTACCCCTTAGAGTACATGGTAGCTAGGTCGATTCATATTCTCCTGTATTCTTATTTATATCGCTGTATTTGCATGTTTTATTCATCTCAAGCATTTTACATTCACTCTGCTATTAAGGGCGTATCTTTGGTTCCGGTCATGAGCACTGTTCGGGCATGCGCGAATTGCGGAATGCCCGGAACAACGCAAAAACACCACTTTGGGTATATCGGAACTCATGCGACCCCCAAATTGGCGCGAGGCTTTCCGCGCCAAAATTACGCCCCAAATAACAGTCGCATCAATGGAGGGATGCCAGAACAGTTCGAAAGTTTGTTTGCGACACCCACGCAAAACACAATCGTAAAAAATGCTGACGTGAATCCCCAAATGTTGGGAGCACAATGCGGGAAAAGTTACACACATTCTTGGTCGCTGGGGCCATTTTGCCGAGTGGTTGGGTGCAGAGGTGTAGGATACGGTACGTTGCAAAATACTGACGACCGCCAAAATGATGGCAGACTAACGTGAATCGTTGCAACAGGTGATTGGTTGGGGGTGGGTCGTGCACGTCAGGCCCCACCTGCTGCTCTTTGACCCAAAGCTGGGGCCGCGCGCGGCTCGGCAGCCCACTTCGGGTCATGCCGCAATAACCGCATGACCGGAAAATGTGCCATGAACAGTGCTCATGACCGGAACCAAAGATACGCCCTAAGGTCAAGGGCCCACCTAGTCTATCTACCTGCGTGTGAACCTTCCTGAGGAGATCCTGGCAACGATCATCTACTGTTCACAGCATGGTATGAGAGCGGCTCGGGAATCCTTCGCAAAAACCACTCCCGAAAATTACGACATTCGGAAAGTGGCGTCCGGCACATGCTCGCGTGTGAGAATGCCGAGGATCTGGTGGTCTGACTAATCTGACGGCTGAAGCGCAACCCAACCCGGCTGCGACAAGCGAGGAAACGACGACGATCGGGACCGAAGTCCTCGCACAACTTCTTCAGCGACTCACCAGCTTGGAGCAAGGGCTCCAAACATTGCGGAACGGCGACGTAGGAACACTCGCAACCTTCTCAACCGGCCCCAACTGGCCAGAACGCCGCCCCGCACACTTTCTTGTTGAAATCATAGGCGAAACAGGAAAGAGAAGGTTCACTAGCAGGCTTTGAGTACATATATGCAATCCCTAATTTGGGCTGTACTCGCTATAGAGTACCCCACTGCAGGCTAGACAAACATCACATTCTGACACACCCCCATAGTCAAAGTGGGGTATAATCAGCACAGCAAGCAGGCAGAGCAGTAGGTTCACAAATACAAGCAAAGCTAGAGGCTATCATAGAGGGCAAGTGAGGAGGAGGAGAAACTGCGGGGGCGAGAAGATGGACATATATGCAATCCCTAATTTGGGCTGTACTCGCTATAGAGTACCCCACTGCAGGCTAGACAAACATCACATTCTGACACACCCCCATAGTCAAAGTGGGGTATAATCAGCACAGCAAGCAGGCAGAGCAGTAGGTTCACAAATACAAGCAAAGCTAGAGGCTATCATAGAGGGCAAGTGAGGAGGAGGAGAAACTGAGGGGGGGAGAAGATGGGAGGCGACGGCTGAAGCTGCAGACACACGGGCAACAGGAGTGCGCAGCACTGTCGCTACCAGGCTAAACCCGGACTACACGGCGACAGGCGCAGCTGGCTCACTGTGCTCCCAGGAGTGCTCACACTGTGGCTACCGGGCGCAGAGCCCCGGACTACTCAGGCCACAGGGGGTCGTGGCTCTCTGGACTACCAGGAGTGCTCACACTGTGGCTACCAGGCGCAGAGCCCCGGACTACTCAGGCCACAGGGGGTCGTGGCTCTCTGGACTTCAGGCGCTGCGGACGACAAGACGACTGCCTCCACTCAACTTCCTCCAGCTGTCCCACACCCCTTTCACACACTCCCTGTTGAACCTCTAGCACCGCTCACACGCCACCCCCCTCGTACCACTCCGACGGCTCCAACACATCCACCCCCCTCAGCGGCAGCTGCAGCAGTGGGAGATGGAGGAGGAGGAGGAGCAGGGGACGGCTCACACACACGGCACCCCCATACTCTCCACCCCCAAACCCTAACACAGGAGCGCGGGCAGCAGCGGGGGTGGGGCGCGGTCAGAAGCTCGGGGGACGGCGTGCGGGACCGAGGCAGACTGGACGGGCCGCGCACGGGCCTGGCGAAGGCCGGACGAACCGCGCGCGGGCTGCCCGGGCCGCGCGCGGGCCCGGAGCAGGCCGTACGGGCCGCGCGAGGGCCTGGCGCAGGTCGCGCGGGCCGCGTCGGGCGACGGGGGGCGACGCGCGGGTCCCCGGGGGCTCCGCGAAGGGTAACGGGGGGCGACGCGCAGGTCGACGGGCAGGGAACCGCCGCCGCACGCCGGGGGCACCGGCGGGCAGAAAACCGCCGCGCGATCGGGGCGCGCGGCGAGCAGAAAACGCCAGCGGAAGCTAACGGTGGGCCACAGGCCAGGAGCGTAACCGCTCTGATACCATGTAGTTGAAATCATAGGCGAAAACTAGAAACAGGAAAGAGAAGGTTTACTAGCAGGTAGTTGAGTACATATAGCAAACCCTAATTTGGGCTGTACTCGCTATAGAGTACCCCACTGCAAGCTAGACAAACATCACATTCTGACATTTCTCCCTCGACACAAATGGTTCAACCCCCAAGGCTCCCCGTCCCAGTGAAGAGGCAATTCTCTCTGCACAATCAAGGTTCTTGCTGCAGAACGCCCAAATGCTCTATTATTTCGACGGGAGCTACGCGGAACCCGCTGAGGACACCGACGACGCCAGGACTCGCTACCGACGTCGCCTCTACTGCAAGATTTGCAAAAGTTTCGGGCATTTGGCGGATAGATGCAAGTACCGATTACGCCCTCGCCAGACCAATCCGAGCAACTGGTCCGGCCGACAAGACGCACGAGGCGACGTGCGTCCAGCCCAGGGGTATCAGCCCCACCCGCGCGCAACCTGAACCCAGCGGTTCAGCATCAGCAGCAGCAGCAGCCGTCATCGACTGCCCCAGTACGCAACGTCATGAGCAACATGGCCATGACAGGCGAGTCGCGTCGTCGCCGCGTGCGCTCACCTTCACCTGAGCCAGCACCGCATCCCATTGGCGCGTTCTCTAACAACAACCCGTTCTGCCTGCACCACGACTTCACCGACGATGAGGACCAGGACTGGAACCTTCTAGTCCCGCTGCTTGAAAGTCCCCTGCACATACATATGCGGGTGGCGCCACTTGATTGGCTCTCGCGCGAGCAATTTCTAAAGTTC